GTAACGCACCCAGACATTAGAAGTCCACATGGTAACTTTTCAAAATAACACAGGAAATAACTGAACTGTCAGAACAGTCATCTGTCTGGGTTCTACTTCTGTCTGTGGAGCGTGCATGCTCTCCCAGTGTCTGCGTGGGTTCTCCCATACTCGTGTGGGGTTAGGTGGCCGTAGGCATGAATGTTAGTCCTGTGACTGACTGACGATCTTCCAAAGCAGGAATGGGTTTCTCGAATGAGCAGCAGCAATAAATACAGATTCTTAGACACAACTTTACATGTTTATTTATATTTTGGATGCAAACAATTTTACAACAGGTTTGTTGTTCTGTACACATTGATATAAAATCTGGGACACTCATTTGTACTCACATGTAGGTTAAACTTTAAATTCTATTTTTGTATTTATTCTGTACTTGCTCTCAGACCATGAAACACCATCTGGGCTGCAGCTAAAATAATAATAATAAGCTAAACTGTCTAATGCAAATATTGAACAGCAATTTAGTGGAATACTCCGTTATAGCCTATCAGATCATCCCATGTCTAAATAAAGCTGTGATATTGATGAGCGAGGCAGTTAGCATCTTTGCCAGCCTTCCTTCCTGCCTTCAAATCAGACTTCTAGTCTGACTAAGCAGAATGTTTAAAGCGCACACACAGTCATACAGTGCTTTAACACTAAAATATTGATCAGCGCGTCTCACACGGCTGATTTATCTGCAGCAGCTGTGTTACTTTCACTCAGCGTTATGTGTAACCTCATCATATTTTTCTAACATTATAGTTTTATCTAAATTAGCGTCGTTACTGCTGATACACTCACATATGCTGCCAAGCCACCCCTTTCAGCAGAAACCCCAGAATAACACTGCTTAAGTGGATTGAAATAGCAGATCAATATCAAGGCTGGTATTGGTATCGGATTGATACTAACGCGATATGATCAACACCTCAAACATTTTGACTGTCATTTCTATTTTATTTATAGCCTCCAGCACATTTACACAACAGAAGCTGAGTCAGACAAATTTACATTCCAGATCTCATATATCAGTATCGGTGTTGATATCGCCAACACTGGCCCTATATTTTGCTTGTATCGATTTGATACCAAGATTTGCAGTATCCCTTGCTCAGCTCCAGGATAGGCTCCAGCCCCCAAGGCATGTCTGCAGCATGTAGCGCAGTATGTTTCCAGCCACTAGATTTTTAATGAATAAAGAATAAGCGCCACAGGTCTCTTTTTTTTCACCTGTTCTGATTTCGTGGTGAGTTTTGACCAGTTCTGCTGCATCTTTCACAAGCTGCATCCCTGGACAGCTGTGCAGGGCAGCTGCTGCTCTGCAGAAAGACTGCAATCTCCCAACAATCTGCGGATTCATGCCGCACTTGATGCTCAGCCACTGATGTGATGGCAGAGGGGCGCTCACCAGGACATGCCTCGGCTTGTCCCTGATTGTTCATTTGGAAGCTGAAATCCTGCATAATGTATTATTTTTCCTGTGTGTGTGTGTGTGTGTGTGTGTGTGTGTGTGTGATTATCTTTCATAAGCTGACACAAGGTCACCAAGATATTGGGAGTAATAACAAGTCCAGAACTTAAAATAAGGAGTTTTTGACGAGCTGCCAACCAAACAAGACATATTAACAGCCCTTGTTTTCTCACAAGCCTTAAACATTTGTGCCTATGTAAGTTCTGATTGATAAATACAGACTTAAATTGCACCCTAATCACTGGTTTAGTTGTTTGGTTATGCTCGCCTTTATCTGTTCAGTGAAGTGTTAACTTGATGAGCTCTGCAAAAAAAGGGGGAGGCTTGTTAGCGAGGACTGATATTCCTGAGTCAGACTGGATTGGGAATAGTGCAGCAAGTCAAACTGAACTGAAAAAAGTGCAATCACCAGTGGCACCCTGATGGATGCTTTATGTTGCAGGGTTTTAAAATGAATACCAATCAAATTCAGTGTAATTTGGTCATAAAATAGGCTCTAATCATTCTTATGTGTTTGTTTTCATAAAATAAAAGGGAGAGAACAGCAGCACTCAAAATGATGTCTCTGCTGCTCAAACGCTATCATTTTTTTGTCAGGGTGCAAAAAAAGTCAGTAAATTGAAACAACAACAACAACAACAACAGGCATAAAACACTCTAATGGACACCGACTCTTGTGAAACAGACTGACGTTAAATTTAAATCACTTGATGCCAGATTGAGGAATGTGATTGGGCATTTTCTTAAAAGTCATAAAAGCACGTGCATATGCAAAAAGGATATGAAACCAGAAGGGTGTGGACAGCTTACTGCTGCATTATAACATGTTAAAGCGTTGGCATTAATTAACTCAGCATATAAAACAGGTTTCGTTGCTTGAGGATGCAGCTGCAGTGGTTGAACTCATCACAAAGGTGACAAAGCAGTGCGTGAAGTATCTGTCTGTCGCATTATGTTCACATTTGACCTGAAAATATGCTGAACGCTGAAATAGACTCAATCACAGAGACTCTTCGATTTCCACTTGTTCCCTTTTTTAAAACGTGGACAGAAATGTGATGTACGAACCAGCTTATTTTAATGCTATGTCTCTTCAGCTGTTTTGTTAATGCAAACATCTAATCAGCCAGTCATGATTGGCATCAATTATGCATTTTTGCATGTAGAAATGGTGAAGACGACCTGCTAAAAACTGAGCATCAGAGAGAGGAAGAAAGGTGATACAAGTGACTTTGTTAAGGTTGCTGGTGTTAGACAGGCTGATCTGAGTATTTCAGAAACTGCTGATCTGCTGGGACTTTCCCCAAACAGCCATCTCTAGAGTTTACTGAAAATGGTCAGAAAAAGAGAAATTTTCCAGTGAACAACAGAAAATGCCTTCTTGATGCCAGAGATCAGAGGAGAATGACCAGAGCGCTTAAAGCTGATAAGAAGGCAAGAGTGAGTCAAATAACAATTTGCTACAACCAAGGTATGGCGAAGAGAGCATCTCTAAACACTCGACACAGTGAACCTGAAGCAGATGAGCTGTCAGATACAGACAGGAAACTGGGGTTAGAGATCAACATGGGCAAACCAAAAATTGGACATTAGAAGATTGAAGAAATATTGTCTGTATTGTTCTGATAATTTCTGCTTTGAGCTTTGGATGGTAGGGTCAAAAATGTGGAGTAAAAAACACGAAAGCATGGATCCATCATGTTTTGTATTTACAATTCAGGCTGGGGGTTGTGTAATGGTGTGGGGGATATTTTCTTGGCACACTTTGGGCTCCGTTGTACCAACTGAGCATCATTTAAACACCACAGCCTAAAAGAGTGGTGTTGCTGACCATTTCCATCCCTTTATCACAGTGTACACATCTTCTGATGCTGCTTCCAGCAGGACAACCCATCATATCACAAAACTCAAATCATCTTAAACTGGTTTCTTGAACATGACGGTGAGTTCACTGTACTCAAATGGCCTCCACCGTCAGATCGGCAGTGGTGGAATGGGAGAACAGGGGATTCACATCATGGATGTGCAGCCAACAATTTGCAGCAACTGTGTGATGCTATCATGTCACAAAGGGCCAAAATCTCTGACGAATGTTTCCAGCATCTGTTTGAACTTGTGCAATGAAGAATGAAGACATTTCTGAAGGCAAAAAGGTTTCCAACAAAGTAGCAAAGTGTACCTAATAGAGTGTCCAGTCGGCGTGTATTTCATAATGTGCAGACCTGCAGATACTGTGATCATGGCTTGATACTTATAACTGAAGCTGAGGCTCACAGAAGCGTTGATTTAGCAGCTGTTTAACGAGGCTCTGATATGTGTATCCTTAACCTCTGTATCAGAGAGAGGAACACAGGAGCTCCACCCACCAGCTGTTCAAACCTTCTGTTTACGAGGGCCAGCCAATCAGCAGAAAGTTAGCTGAAATGGAGAGGAGCAAAAACTGCTTCTTTCAGAGTGTGAATGAACAGAGTTGCATGTATGAGACAAATAAGGATTATTTTGAACAGTAAATTATTCAAAGCTGCTCTACTAGAGCTCAAGAATAAAAATATAGAGGTGGAAATCAACACAACAGGATCTGAGGAACTTTCAGTAACTTTGTCCGTTTCCCATAGAATTCAGAACACTTTTTTTTATCTGAGGATTTCCGGTTCATGTCGGCTCGGATTTAGCTTTTGTTTATGACCATGAAACAGCAAGTAAGAAATGGTTGATATGGAAACTTTTCTGCAGCTTTTTCCATCCATCGCCTTGATCCTTCAAATAAACACAACAAATGTACAGATAACCGCGCTGGAGATGTGTAGAAGATGCAGAAAATGGGTAATTAACACCCCATGAGCTCCTCAGGCAGTAATTATGTGAAAAAAATGGAAGATCTCTTTTTCTGCTTTTAAACTACTAAAATGTGTTTTTAACAGCTTTGCATTGTTTTCTTTGTTCTTCTGCGTGCAGAAGGCAAATGCTATTAAATATACCACCAAATTGGCGCAAATTAAAACCCCAGAAAATCAAATAAACATGCCTGAGAGACTCTAGTAAATTAGAAATAAATCAACAGAGAGTAATAAATTGGTCTGAAATTCATTCCTCTCTGTATCAGATCTCACTTACTGAGTCTCAGCAGGGGGCATGCACACAGCCATGTATAATTTTCTCAGAAAGCCGGGGCTTCTTTTTGATCATTCGCTCCGAGCCACAAGCTCTTCACTTGCACTCAGCACCTCCAGTGTGCTGGCAGATCAGCTAGGAAAAGGTTTCTCCTCCTCTCAGTCAGTGGACTCACTCAGTCGCACTACAATCCCTCCTTTGTTTTGCTTCACTCTAATGGCTTCTTTATAATTTCTTCCTCTGTTCAAAGGGCATCCAGTACTTGACTGGCTGTAAATCTGTTCAGAGACTAATCTGCCACTACCTACCAGCTGCTCTCTTGGCACCCGCCAGGGCCAACATTCCCGTTGCCATGGAGATAACCAGCCATGCCAGTTACCCATAAGGCCTGGCGTTGCGCCGATCAGGCCGAGTGTAGTGAGCACGTGTGTGTGTGTTCGTGTGCGTGCACGAAGAGCATGCCTGGATAATGCACATTTGTATTATTAGAAGTCAAACCGTGCCGTGTGTCGACCGCCAAGGAAAGAAAAAGGTTCTTGATTAACTGCCATCACCAGCTGTTTGTCAGTCTGAGCCAGTTAAGTGGTTTAGCACAGTACTGTATTTCATTTTGTACACAATGTGGACGAGAGACTTGGCCAAAGGCAGCTGAACGTTGGCTTTTGTCTGACTGCAGAGGGTCCGTGCAGCACTGATTTGAGACAGGACATGGCTAAATACTCTGCAATGAGAAAGTCACCTGTAGCATTATGTCCTGGGAAACTTGGAAACAATAAGAAGAGTTTGACATTTGGAAAACCGGCAGATTCAAAGTCTAAAAAGTATATGAGAAGACTGATATCCTCAAATGTGCTGTTTGAAACCTGGTAAGATGCTGGTTGTGTAACATACAGCATGACTGCATGGCGGTTCATTTTACCTTTTTTTATTTCACAAAACTGTGCACGCCTGCATGACTTTTTCTCACCATAAGCTATTGTTCAGAGGCACCGGGACAAAGCCAATAAAACAATCAGTGAGGCTGTTCTCCCAGGTGTCTCCAGGCATCCATGAAAAAGAGGATTTAAACGGTTTAGTGGAATTAGAAGTTAGCAGAGAGTAAGCAAGCAAGTGAACATCCAAAGATGACATGTTCTGAGCGATGTGTTACTAAAATATTTTAAAGTTTACAGCATAATTAAAACTATAAAGACATTTGAAAAACTAAAAATCTGAGACTTTAGAAAGGTTAGGGAAGTTGGGCAAGTATTGAGGTTTCTCACGTGATGTGCACGTTGCTCATGAGTTGCCCACCATACTGGATGCGATACCACCACCAGTTGCTTAGGAAATGTCTATTCCCTGACTGGTTGGCAGGGCTTTGGAGCGTGATGTCACGGGAGGGGGCGTGACCAGGATTTTTGGTTGAGGCGCCATATTTCTGGGCCAAACAAAGCGCTAGCGAAAGAGGAGCGAAAGCACACAGATAACACCAGCTAAGGTTCGTACTTCCTGTGTGGTTTGTTATAATGTTAGATCGCACAACCGGCAGGGGAATAAGCTTGAAAATGGTTTATCTTTTCATTCTTTCCTGCTGGCTTTCACTCTGAAGAAGGTGGTGCACCAAAGGCTTCCAAATGATTGCTTTGGTTCCAAGCAGATTACTGTGGTTTTCTTTAGTTTTGCAAACACTAGCTACTAGCCAAAGAGTAGTGCAACTCTATCAAATGTGAAACAAACCAGAAATGGAGAAGATTCGCTTTCAAAGTAAAAGTTGTTGAAAGTGTGCAACCTTTTCTTTATTGGGAAACAGCATTCATCTGATTTGTATAGTTTTTCAGTTCAGTTCAGAGAGTAGCTGGACAGTGTTTGTAGTCCAAGCTATCACTTCCATTAAAACTATGACTGCTACTCACCAGATCAATTACAAAGGGGTTTTTTGTAAGTTTTTCAGAAATACACATTATTCCCTAGTGACAGTCGGCCTGTGTAACTGCCATCAACCTTCAGAAACCGCTCCGAGTCTGGGGTATAGAAATTTTTCTTTCACGACCAGTGGTTGCCAGATGGTTATGAACCGGTGTCTAAGCCTGTGTGACCGAGGCCTTATTCACACAATCCTACAATGTTATACGTCCAAAATGGTGCAGACGTTAACGGTCACAGTTCTGCAAAACCTCAATAATGACGTGCTACCTAGTGACCAGCTAAAGAGCTATTGTTAGGCTGATATGAGTACATTATTAGCACAGGGAAGATGTAGGATGAGGGTTAAACTGTAGGTTAAATTAATATGAAACTGACAAGAAGAAGAAGACAATGAAAACTACAGCCAGGAGAATTGTTGACATGATCCCTTCCAGTTAGTCATCAATATCCTGATACGGGGTCTGACATTACCTGTTGAGACTAATGTAGACTTTTCCCTTCAAACAGCTCCTAAAATGAACTTGTTATAGTCAATCCATTGTTCCATTTTCTTCTACTTATCCAGTTTCAGGGTTGTGGAGTGACTTGAGCCTATACCAGCTGCCATAAGAGGAGATTCAGGGTACACTGTGGACAGGTCAGCAGTCTGTTGCAGGGTTTAAAAAGGTATCTTGTGTCTGCCACACATTAGGGACTTGTTGGATAAGCCTTTAGTGATTTGCAACACTTTTTTATGAAAAAGTCCTGATTCAAACTTTGTTTCCACTGAAAAAATTATTGTATGGGAATTCTGCATCTGTTTGCATGTGTGTTAGCCCACACAAAGGAGTTTGCGACCCATGCAAACATGCTGTCATCTGTTCCACTTGGATGACGCTGCATGTAGGTCAGCAGTGCAGCGATACAGATTTTCAGGAGTTGAGATATAAACATAAATTTTTATTGTACAAAATCAAAAGAGCACAATTGTAAAACGCAAACTGCACCCAGGACAGAAGCAACCACATTATACTGCAAACAGAACTTCGACTCCTTGCAAACATCTGCACAGACAGCATGCTAACTCAAAGCAAGCCAAGAACCAAGAGTGATTTCAAAGCTGAGTGTGTGCAGACCCAAGCACAGCAGCCAGAGCTTGAACTTCAACAGGTAACAAAGGGAGTGATGAGCAATCAGGATGTAGCCTCCATTTCTACTTGTTCATGTTTCTACAGCGATTGGTATGAGGTTTATGTTAAAAGTAAAAGAAAGATCATGTGTGTGTTGGGATTTGTGCTGGTGTGTGGGACCCTAACCTATAGCTTGATATTGTTGTGGCTGGTCGTTATGTGACTTTATTTACATTATGGTGCCTTTATGTGAATGTATTTCATGTTATTTTACAAAGTAACAAGTAGTGTAACAAATGACTTTCTTCAGTGAGTAATTAAATAATTTACTGCATAGTGTACTACATTACTTATAAACATCTGGTAATGACAGCTGCTCTGACCAAATGGGGAATAAAGAAATAAACTTACCTCTCACGCAACAAAGCTCAAATATATTCAGAGTTTTGTTCACTGCCTGAATGTGTTTTTAGGTTTGTCTAAATATAAATCAGTGGTCACTGTCATTAACCTGAGTGGCACAATTTTGGATATATTTTGATCACGCTGGAAACTTCAGCTGTTTCTTTGCTGCTGGTATGCTCTGAGGGGGTTGAAAGTGAAAGATAAAGCTCATCAGGATGTAAAATTGACTGCCAAGTCCTGGTTTTTGAGTTTGCAGCCGCAGCCAAAAAACGTGTGACACAAACTGAGCCTTTGATGTGCTGAGAAGCTGTTGGTGAAAGGTGCTGAATCTTAAGCCTCAGAACATTTAACTTTAGCTGCTGTGAGTCACACAGGCAGAAACAGGACTCGTTGGTTTGAGACAAAAAAAAGATAAAACCGAAGAAGAAGCTATTGTTGTCCATCGCAGCCCGGATGACACATGCAAACCTCCGCAGCGCTTTTTGATTCTCCTGTGTTTTCTAGGTATGCTGGGGGCCTTTCAGTGAACACATCTTGCGACATGAGTGGGAGGAAACTGCTGTGGTTTGGTTGCTGTGGAAACCAGGTGAGAGCATGTGCTGTGTGTGCGCTCAGGGGATGACATCATACATTCCATGACGTTGACAGCAGCGAATAGCAGCGAGATGAGGGAGGAGGAAATGAGACGCCTCAGGGCTCAGAAGCCCCTGTTAGGGAAAGAAAGCTTTTGTTTTCAGATGGTTCTCCACCGTCTGAAAGGATCACGTGATATCTATCAGTGGTTTTTAATCACCAATGCATAATTGTCACAGCTGCTCCTTTATATGAATACAGGTTCTCCTTATTTTATAGCATTACAAATATAGTCACACTGTTGGTAGTATCTTGCAAGTAGACCTAATGCAATCATTCCAACTTAAAACTGCACTTGAAAAACCTTTTAATAAGAAAGATGTTATAGGAAACTGTACTTTAAATGAAAGTGTGCTATAATTAAATAGATAAATAACATTTATAAATATGTTGCTGCTTGCTGTATGATGTACATATTTAATGGAGTATATATAAACGGATCCATAAAGTTTTTTGGGTGAGTGTTTTGTTGGGTTAGCAACATTGCTATAGCCATGAAACACCAAGCGTACTGCAAAAAAGCGACCCAAAATTCAGAATTTTTCTGATGCAAACTTGTTGTATAACATATATACACACCAAACATGTTTTTTTTTTTGTGGATAATTTATCCTCCACATATTCTGAACAAGAAAAGGAAGAAACGGAGAGTCTGAGATCATCCAATTCTGATGAGAAGACAGAAGCAGGAAGAATTTCATGGTTTGATCCGGGAGTTGAAGCTGGATCGCGGCCGCTTTCGTACATATTTCAGGATGTCCGTGGGGCAGTTTGAGCTCTTGTTGTGCAGAGTTCGAACCACATCTAAGGAGGCAGAGAAATAATTTCAGAGAGCCGATTGACCCCGTGCAGCATCAAACTGTGTGTCTGAGATAAAAAAGTATTATTTTATGATTTCCATATCGTTCTATATTCAGTAGCAATGCGTGTTTTGAGCAACAAGCGTACACGTTGACAAAAAGCAGTGGTCAGATCTGTTTATTCGGATCAAAAAAAAATTGGAAACAATTGAGCTTGATTCACATGGATTTTACACGTCTGGTGTGTAAAAACGTTTAATATGTCAGTTCAGGAGTTTTCAGTCCCATTGCCACATGTATATGATATCAAGCATCTAACCATGCATTTGAGTATGGTACTGTAACAGGATATCATCGCTGCAACAAGTCAGTTTTGAAGTTTCCTTCTCAATACTCCACAATCAACTGTCAGCAGTATTATTGCAAACTGGAAACATTTAGGAACCACCGTGTCTCAACCATGTAAAGCCACAGAGCAGAATCGCCAAGTGCTGAGGTGCATGGGGCGTAGAAGTCACCAGCATTCTGTAGGTGTAACATTCAGATGGCCCAGTACTTATGTCCATATAGTGTATGCACAAGATATCCTTCAGCGTTGGTGCGCGATTAAGCGGCCGTGCCAATCAATACAATACAAGACACTCAGAACAAAAGGCTCTCTTTGAAATAGCAGAGATGAGAAGGTGCCATGAATCCTCAGTCATAATGTCTCCGTCAGCAGACCTTATTTTTGTGTCTTGTTTGAGAGCTCTGTGCATTTAGTTTTTCAGGTTAAAAGACCCACTAGAACAACAGAAAACACTTAATAATAAGCATGAATGCAAAAGCCCTCAAAACCCTGATACCAAAACCAACGACCACGAGCTTCACTTTACTTTGCTTATTAGTTTCATTTTCACTCTGTTTGGTAAGGTTTCAGCACCAAATCTCCAAGGATAGGTGCAGTAAAAATCATACTTTGGATGCCCACTGGATCCAATTCTTCGGACTTGTCTAGAGTTAATTTGTGAAAATGGCTCTAAAGCACGAGCGTGCCTTATTTCAACTTGTATGTGTTCCCATTACTGTTGCTGCTGTGTGAATGCGGCTCATGCTAACTTTGCAGATGTGGAAAAACGAGATTCTGCACAAAAGAAAAGTAACATCACGTCAAAGAGAAAAATATTATTTTGTACAGTTATTCATGTCTATCAGACATTTTTCTAACTGCATTATGCATCTTTATCCAGGGATACCTCTTGGCTTACCCAATCAGCAGCACATTTATCCACACATGCTGCTTTGGCTCTGGATTGTGTGCATTTGTGCTGCAGAGGTAGCAACAAACAAGCATTCCAGCACATTAAATCACCGAGCGTTCGCTCCAGGCTGGCTCAGTCTTTTCTTCCTGTTGATTCTGGGAAGTGTAACACCATCTCCAGGACAGCAGCTGAGCAGCGAGAGCAGAAACACCAGCACAGGACATCCTGTTGTTTCCCTGCCTTCCATTGAATTAAGCTCTCCTCTTCGGTGCACTAGATATAGCCAACTATTCAACAGAAGTGCCCAGAGAGTAATCCAATGCTGGGTTTCCAAGAAGTTGGACTCATACGTGAAAGCAGACCAACATGCATGGATAAATATATCTTTGATTAGCTGAGCTGCCAAGCATCTCAAAGAAAAGAGTAGCCACCTAATGTCTGTGTTTAATTTTTGTCAGACTCAAATATAAAAGTTAAAAATAATTCCTGTTAAATTTGGGTTTTAAAGTTGATGGAAGCTCTCTGGAGTTGTGTTGCAACAGTATTGGATTATTTTCCAAAAACCATAACATGTTGGAACATTATGGCCATTTTTACACCTGCACTGCAGCACTGAGCTGTCACAAACATGAAAACATTGAGCTGCATGCGAGAACACAAAGTTCAGATGCAGTTCAGAATGTGCGATTTTATGTAGGCAGCTAATCCACACCAATATTTCCAATAGTTTGAATATATCCAAGGCAATTTAAGTCTGCTTATGTATAAAACTACCTCAGACTTAACAAATGATGCATGCTGATCGATATAGATTTATTCGTAATTTTGAAGTTGCAGTGCCAGTTGCACAGATGCACATCAAGCTGCCTGAAAAAGAGCCAATCATCACTTACCTGGCGCTCAGATGTGGACTGTCAGCTTCCTGGTCTGTGGATGTGATTAGTCTTAGATTGGAAAGACTGAAAAGACTATTAGAGACCGTCCCATTCAGGTTCACACTCCCAGCAGGTTTTTGCTGAGGATGAACCCCTTAAGATGCTTTTCACAGGCCTAACAAAACAGCAATATGTCCTGTGATGAGGTGTTGAATGGGTGGTCAGTGGATCTACGGGAGGCTTTGGTGCTCTAATCTCACTACATTATCACTGGAGAAAAGATGAGAAAATGAGTTATAAGAAGCTGTGTCAGACAGACGAATACGCTGCTGCGATGGGCTGTGAAAAGAGCCGACTGAGTCAAATTAGTGTGCACATATTCGGAACATGCAGCATATTTTAAAGTGTGCAAAGCCTACCAAATGAATCTGTAATTTAATGAGCAAATGTGAGTTCAGTCACAGTCCTCTAAATGAATCCTTTCACCCTGATTTGCATGCATTCGAATGCACACTTTCATCAGAAAGGTGATTATATAAAATGTATGGAAATCATAGACTGTCGGTGACTTAAGTCCCCTCTTTAGTCTGCATTAATCCCCATTTCCTGGCCTCGGGCCATGGCGGGAATATGTATTGGAGGACGGCCACGTGCCCTCTCTCAGCTGCCCCCTAATCACACCCCCAGCCCCAGGCTTGCTCCGACCCCACGGCCCTGCCTGTGCGGTCCAGCCAGTCTTTTCTTCTGGTTCTCTCCTGCCCCCTAAAGCACAGAAAGCAGAATAAGCACAGTGTGGCAGGTCCTGGTGGATCAAAAACTAATTTCCTGAGACATTTGTTTGAGCGAAGCAGGTGAGAACATGCAGGGTATAGCTTCATATGGACATCTTCCTAATGCATTAAGGTCCTCTGCACATAAAAGTTTACATTACAATAAACTGTGTGAGTGTAATCTTCCTCATTGTTGCATAAAAGCCATCAGATGATAAAAGAGGCAGGAACAGCGCTTGGCAATCAAATATTCCCATGTCTTTGGTTCGCTGGCGTGCTTCTTTGAACCTTCTTGATTCACAGGCATTCCTCACGCAATAGGAGCTGTCACTTTGTGTGGACATTGTCCTGTCAGTGTGTGTGGCTATAGGGAGCGTCTGATGTACACTCCGGGCCACTTGATGTGAATGGGAAGACAATGAGACCCCCAGTGGCTCCCTCTCTCCGTGACCCGTTTGGGGTCTGATTTGCCTTGGCAAGGGGGACAGAGGCCCAAAACAAAGCTGAAGGAGTCTCCAGTGGAGGGGTTCAGAGGTCAGCCCCAACGCCCAGCTAACAGGCTCGTCTTCAAGTTTGCGCTTCTAAATGGGGAAGGGACACAGAGGTGCAGAGACAATGGGATAAAAGGAACCTCCAAAACCATTAAATTCTGAGGAAGTGATGGCCGTGAATGATGACAGAGACTGAATAGGGACTCTTGAGTTGGGAGGTACGCTCCATTAATGACCATGGATGCTCCATTATGGCAGCCCGGGGAGGTGGTGATGGGGTGGTACATTTTTTCCCATTAGGCCTCTCTTCTCCGAAAGAAGAGACAATTCCAGATTGATGCAGAAATCCTGGTCGGGGTTGTATAGATCCCCACTGGGAATCTAAACCCAGGGGGGGGACAGCGTGACACACCCGTTAGAGGCTGGACGAGTCAAATTACTGTTTGCATAACGTCAACCACCCCAAAGGACACTTTGATTGATGGACTTTCCCTTTTATACCAAGCGTACGAGAGGATGTGGTTGTGCAGTTCATGACTTCAAAGCATGAACGGTAACAGATCGGCTTCTGATCGGTAGCGGCTCAATACTGTCGAACTTTTCTGGAAACTAAAAAGGGATCTGTGATGTAAATGACGATTGATTAGTTGCGCTCTGTCATCACTAATTCAAAAGGACCTAAAAGTGCATGTAAATGACAAGACAGCTGAACATGCTGCTGACAATATTTTAAAAACAACTCCATAAACCAATCCCTGATGAATCAGATTTATTTA